CTTCTCACTTGGATAAATAGAGCAGGTCGAGTCAGGTCGCGAAGCCAAGATCTGAAAGGTAGAAAGTGTTTGATGTGATGCGAAGATTTTTTTTTTTTTTTTTTTGGGGGGGGAGGGGTAGAATTCTGGTCAGTCGAATCGATTTTTTTTGGGGGGGAGGGGGGCGATATTTAGTTATAATATATTTGAAATTTGTCCTTAGCATTTATTAAATAAGTAGATCTTCATTGGTATTTACGAGAGAGGAAAAATCTCTATCATCATTTACAGAATAAAAAAATATATATATCATTTAACAAAATAGGAAAAATATTCAGTATCATTTACAGAACAAGAAAACCTTCATTACCACTTACAAAAGAAAAAAAATCAGCACTACTATTTACAAAAGAATGAAAAACTTTATTACAATTTGCAAAATAGGACAACATTCACACATCCAAACATATCAACGTCAACATTAGTTTAAGATAAACACATTTGCCGTAAAAAAAAAGTTGTAATAGGGGGGGGAGGTTTGATCGAATGGGGATTGGATATTTCAGTTGGAATATGGGGGGGGGAGAGGTCGGGGGAGAGTTGGAATATGGGGGGGAGGTAAAACCTGGTAATTCAAAAAAAAAAAAGAAAAAAAAAAGAAAAAAAGAAAAGAAAGAAAAAGAAAGAAAGAAAGAAAAAATATATACATATATTCGTAGTTCCGTTTCTAAAACCAGGTAATTCCGAATAAAAGACATATCCGTTGTTCCGTTTCTAAAATCCGAAAATTGAATGCACCATTTCTAAAACCCAGTTATTAAAAAAAACAAAAACATAAACATACTCCTTTTCTAAAATCTGACAGTTCCTAAAAAAAGGAGAAGAAGAAGAAAACAAAAAAACAGAAGCATACTATATATTTCGTTTCTAAAATCCGGCAGACTTCAAGAAAAAAAATACAGAAATCATCGTAAGAGAAAACAAATATTCAAGATGGATATAGGGCGTACGCTCAATAAAAGTACTATATAAAAAAAATAAATCTTTGGTTAAGTCAGATTATAAGTTACGCAACAGAATGCTCCAAAATGCTTTTACAAAACGAGGGGACAAATAGCTCACATGACCGTTTTTTTGTGTGTGTAAGAATGAGAAAGAGAAAGAGAGGGAGAAAAAGAGAGGTAGGGAAGGAGGGAGTGAGGGAGGGAGGGAGAGGGAGAGGGAAGGAGGATGGGAGAGAGAGAGGGAAGGAGGAAGAGAAAGAGTGGGAAGGAGGAAGAGAGAGAGAGAGAGAGGGGGAGGGAGAGAGAGAAAGGGAGAGTGCGAAGGAGGGAGGGTAGAGGGGGGGGATGGGGAGTGAGAGAGAGAGAGAGAGAGAGAGAGAGAGAGAGAGAGAGGGAGAAAGAGAGAGAGGGAGAGAGAGAGAGAGAGAGAGAGAGAGAGAGAGAGAGAGAGAGAGAGAGAGAGTGGGAAGGAGGGAGGGAGGGAGGGAGGGAGGGAGAGGAAGGAAGGGAGATAGATAGATACAGAGAGGAAGGGAGATAGACAGAGAGAGAAAGGAAGGGAGATAGATAGATAGAGAAAAAGGAATGTAGATAGATAGACAGATAAAGAGAGTAAGCGAACGAGTGAGTGAGATGAATACATTCATGAACCTAAGATGGAGCATGTTCATGCGTGCGTGCATGGCCGAATAAATCTACTACACATGAACATCCACATGAAAAATCCACACATATTCACACGGTATCTGCGCAATTTCAACCGCTTCCAAAGACATACATTCTCCAACACAAACTACACATTACAACACATACACAAACATATATAACAAAAAACACAAACACAACACACACATACGAAATACCATATAAACATACCTTCTGCAGATACACCACATGCCACACAAACAAACCAGATACCCACAACAACATACCCCCTACAAACACACCTCATATACACACATACCCACATAAACGCATATCCACGCGAAATACCCACAGAAACACACAACATACACTCAAACATACCCATACAAACACAATACATACACAAATATACCCATAACAAACAAATACCCACACAAACACATACCTACACAAACACACCACGTACACAAACACACCACATACACAAACATGCCAATGACAAACACACCACATACACAAACATACCCATGCCAAACCCAAACCCACAAACATACCCACACAAACATACCCATGACAAACACACACCTACAAACATACCCATAACAAACACACACCCACACAAACACACACATATCCATGCGACGTCACTCATCTCCAGCGACACCCCCCCCCCAACCCCAGACGCCCGCCCGCCCGCGCCCAACTCTCCTTAGCTCAGGTTGCGAAATCTCGGCCAGCCAATCAGCGCCTTCATTTCACCGAGTCACGTGGTCAGGCGGATTCGACCAATCAGCACCGTTGATTGGGAAACGGAGACTCGTGATTGGATAACGGGGGTTGTGAGCAGTGGATGTCGTATGTGCATTTTTTTGTATATATGTGTGTGTTTATTTGTGCTTGTGTGTGTACGTGTGTGTGTGTGTGTGTGTGTGTGTGTGTGTGTGTGTGTGTGTGTGTGTGTGTGTGTGTGTGTGTGTGTGTGTGTGTGTGTGTGTGTATGTGTACGTGTGTGTGTGCGTGTGTGCGTGTGTGCGTGTGTGCGTGTGTGTGTGTGTGTGTGTGTGTTTAAATATGGATGTACGTATGATCATTTATACTTATGTACGCTGATATACCGAGTATGTATTGTATGCACACACACACATACATGGGTTCTTAGATACGTATGTACATGCATACATGTACATACACAAGCATATAAGTACACACACTACATACATATTCACACACATACACAGATACACAAACTTGCACATACACACAGACATACATACACACAAACGTGCATACACACATATATAAGTACAAACACTACATACATATTTACACACATACACAGACACACAAACTTGCATTTACACACACAAACGTGCATACACACATACACAGACACACAAACTTGCACATACATACACACAGACATACATACACACAAACGTTCATACACAAACACATACACAAACACATTTTTCTTCCCCCATAGGAGTATATGCTGTCATTCTCTACACAAACACATGTACATACACAAACATACAAGTACAAACACTACATACATATTCACACACACACATACTTGCACATACACAAAGAGACATAAATACACACAAACGTACATACACACATACATATTCACACACACACACACACATACTTGCACATACACACACAGACATACATACACACAAACGTACATACACACATACATACACAAACACATTTTTCTTCCCTTGTAGGAGTATATACTGTCATTTTCTATCGGAAATAAGCATAACTCCGTTCGGTTTGTTCTGAATAAATAACATAGTAACTGCAATTTTGGCTTTACTGAAATTCTTAATTTTTTTTTTGTTTTTTTGTTTTTTGTTATCATTTCTGGGTGAATTCGCATGTTTTCTTTTCATACAATCTAGATTTCATTTACAGAACATGGTGTATTAGATGATCTTTCGAATGGATACAAGACAGTGCTATGCTGTGGGGTTGGGAGGGGTGGGTGGGTGGGTGGGTGATTGGGGGGGGGGGGAGTGACGTCATCTGTGGTCCTGTCCAATATGGCTTTATTTTTGTGTGTCTCTCTTTTTTGCTCTCTATCTCTCTTTCTCTTTCTCTATCTCGTTCTAATTCTGTTCTCTCTCTCTCCCTCTCACCTCTCTCTTTCTCTCTCTCTCTCTCTCTTTCACACACACACGCTCTCTCTCTCACTCTCCCTCTCACTCTTCCTCTCTCTCTCATGCTCTCTCTCTCTCTCTCTTCCCCCTCCTCTCCCTCTCTTTCCCTCTCTTTCTCTCCCTTTCACACACACACGCTCTCTCTCTCTCTCTCACTCTCACTCTTCCTCTCTCTCTCATGCTCTCTCTCTCTCTCTCTCCCCCCCCCCCCCCCCCCTCTCTCTCTCTCACAAGGCACCGACAGAAGTGCCTGAAGTCAGCAATACCATGCATGGCACTACCCCCCTCCCCTCCCCCCCAGGGCAGCAAATACTTGTACACCAAGAGATTTCTCCCGAGGCCAGATCTATATATCTATTTATCTATCATTTGTCTAACTCGTCTCTCTTTTCATTCATTTACACACACACACACACACACACACACACACACACACACATATATATATATATATATATATATATATATATATATATATATATATATATATATATATATATATACATAGATCACTCACCATTCTAAAAGGAGAGAGACAGAGAGAGATAAAAAATATATATATAAGAAAAAATAAATGAAAAAAAAGGAGAAAAAAAAAAAAAAAAAAAAAAATCGATTCACGTCCAGAAAGGATCCAAAACCAGAACAGTTTCAAAATTCAGTTTTTTTTTTCTCTCTCTCTCTCTCTCTCTTTCTCCCCCTCTCTCTCGCTCTTCTCTCTCTCTCTGTCTCTCTGTCTCTCTCTCTCTCTCTCTCCGTCGACCCAATTCGCGACCGGGATTGGAAGTCGTCCTATGGCATGAGGAACAAGACAGTGCTATGCTGGATCCTGTGGGGCTGGGAGTGTGGGATGGGGGGGGGGTGAGGGGGGTGATTTCCCCCTGAGGTGCTGTTCAATATCTGTCTTTATTTCAGTGTGTCTCTCTTCTTGCTCTATCATTCTCTCTCTCTCTCTCTCTCTCTCTCTCTCTCCCCTCTCTCTCTCCCTCTCCCTCTCTCCCCCCCTCTCCCTCTCTCCCCCCCCTCTCCCTCTCTCTCTATCTCTCCCCCCCTCTCCCTCTCTCTCTCTCCCCCCCCCCCTCTCCCTCTCTCTCTCTCCCCCCCTCTCCCCCCCCCTCTCTCTCTCTCCCCCCCTCTCCCTCTCTCTCTCTCTCTCCCCCTCTCCCTCTCTCTCCCTCTCTCTCTCTCTCTCTCTCTCTCTCTCTCTCTCTCCCCCCCCCTCTCCCCCCCCCCTCTCTCTCTCTGACCACCCGTC